ATCGATTATCGATTGATTCCTCTATTCTACTTCTATTCTTCTACCGAGTACCCTTCATTAGGTCCAAATTAAACCCACAATAACGGCTTCAACTCTTCCCCTTTCTGTATATACATTCGTAGGATTGTCACAGAGACTGTAAGCTTTCAAGTCAAGATGTTAGGGATTTTTTTAGCTATATCTTGTGTGTAGATGTTTGTATAATTTTTTTGATTGATTTTGATTCGCTTTTTGCATGTATATATACATACATAAAAAATTTTGGATATTCGATTTGGGAAACCCTAATTTTGGTGAAGGTTTTTTTAGCTAAGAGATCTAGTCTCATAGAGATAAAGAAAGATTTGATTTGATTTGATTCGATTCCAATGGAGTATCACGAGGAGGAGGATTTGTAAAAGATGTTACGGATGAGCATGCTACATGAACCACCAGAGACGGAGAGGAGCAAAGCGAGGGGCGACAGCACTAAGACTCCTTTGGATGAGTTGTCGAAGGTGAAAAATGTGAGGTTACAGAGGGAATTAATGGCGGCGGCAGCTGAAAAGCGTTTAATGGTGGCATTGGTAGTTATGGTTACGAACGCTACTAATACTTGCGTGCCTAAGGATGCTCCTTCCTTGGAGGCTTCATCGTCAAAAGTGGATAAAACTGTGACGATGGTGAAGGAAGACAAGTTTTTTTATTTCGTATTTTCTACATATATAGTTCCGAATTAATTTTGATTTATTTTTTCAATTCAAAAGCAGAAGCTAACTTCATTGACAAAATGGATACCAGTAGACCCACTAAAAATGTTGCTTTTGTTCTATTTGTTTAGGAGACGATTCATCATCAAGTCATCTTTAGCTACTCTATCTCCAGGTTAGCCTTATGCTTGATTTTGGTAAGCCTCACATCATCTATTTGAACTATTGGTTCACATTTTCGATTTCAGTTTAATTTTATGAAGTGAAGCTCATCTGGTCATTTGTTTATTCAAGAGTTTTACTTCCTTATTTGCCTTTGATTTACAACTATACAAGCAACCCTATGATGAAATTTAAAAGCGTGTTTGGTGATGCACACCAACTGCTAGATTAATTGCTTCAAACAATTTTTTATTTTTAATTTTTAATATGAAAACCCACAAAAAAATTACCACTATTTGATTCCGCCCAAGGACGTTAACAATCGTTTCAGCTTTTTTGGATACTGGAAAGTCGGAGGCTACATACTTTTGAAATTAATGCAAGCATTATCTCTTGAAGAATCCCTATTGTGGAACATGGAAAAAGCTAATTCATTGGATTTTAATGCTTGGAAAACACTAAATAGAGGAGTCAGAGAACACAACAGACGTATAATTTTACATGCAAGCTTATTTTATATTTTTTGGGTATGTATGGATTTGTAGGAAGTAAACACTCCGGCAGCTGGAAAAAAAATATGGTGAGGCTTGGTTATATATCTTTTATCTAGACAAAATTACACAGATGGTGCCTGTGGTTGGCATGAGAGACCAAAGACAGTCCTTATGAGGAATTTTGAACGAGTATGGTCTCTGTGGTTCCCAATTGTTGCACGGACAATCCTTATGACTGACTCTGTTTAATTGATGTCGTTTATCTAAATCACGTGACCCTCACACGAGGGTATTTTGGTCTTTTGCTTATCCCTTCTCTCTCATATCTTTATATGATCTGTAAAGATTTCCCTTCCCTATAAAAATTAAACCCCCATTTCATCTCCTCTATTCTCTCTTCTCTCTTCTCTCTTCTGTGTCTTTCTAAGAAACTTTGCTTAACAATGGTAAATTGTTTTTGTGGAAGGCAAGCGGTGATAGTGACATCATGGACGGATCTCAACCTAGGGCGTAGGTTTTGGAAATGTCCTAGCAGTTGCGGTTTCATTACATGGTTTGATGAGCCCATGTGTTGTAGGGCTGTGGCTATCATTCTAGGTTTGCTAAGATCCATAAACAAGCTTCAAGAATCTCTACTGCAAGTAAGTTTGGAAGAAAAAAAAAACTGAAGATGATGCTAGTTTTTAGTTGGGTACGTTTTCTTTTTCGTGTATGTGTACAAAAGATGTTAATAGTATTAGTCTGGAGATGATGGTTCTTTTGCTTTTGGGTAGAATCAGATAATAGTATTAGTCTGAAGATGATTTCGTTTTGTTTGTTTGTGATGTAAGAAATGTTCGTATGTATGAATGGAATGATTTTTATTTGGGAAACTTTTAGTTTGCAACCATTGTAAAATATTGGTCTAGAACTTTATAAGTTTAAAATATTGGTCTACAACTTTACGAACTATGCAGATCCATTAAAGTATAAAATATGAAAGTCAAAGGTTTTTGTAGGGTTTAGACCATTTTAGTATAATGTGTAAACCAATGTAAAGCCATAACAACATTAAAAATGTTCAAAAATAAAATGCAAACTTTTGCATAGTCATAAAGTTCATTACATAACCTTAAAGTGCAAAGTCATAATACCAACAAAATATCAAAAGAGCTTGCAGACTAATGTATCATAACCAAAACAACCAACTTAGTCTAGCACCCTAATATACCATAATACCAACAAAAGATAAAGACAAACAAGAACCAACTTAGTCTGAGCATGCTAAGGTACCAAAACAAGCAACACAAAAGACATTTTTAAAAACCATAATGACAACAAATCAAACTTTTTCCTTCATTTTGGTTTTCTCCTTAAGTTTGGTTTTCTCCTTCATTTGGATTTCTCCTTCTTGCCATCTCCCTACTTCTTTGCCTTGCTAAGCTTCTTGCCCCCTGCAACCACATTTATAACTTCATTTTGTCCCCCCTTATCCCTTGCAACTCCTAGAGTTGTGACCCTTGTTCTTGCATTTGCTACAGGTAACTGTAAGGAACTTCCTGGTCAAACTTTTACCTTGATTATTTGGTTCTTCAGTTTGAGCTCTCTTTCTCTTCTTTTTTGGTCTCCCCACCTGCATAATTAATAAATTATAAAACAATATACACGTATATTAACTTGTAAATTGAAAATTATTTACCTGTTTCGTATGCTTGGGGGTGTTATTGTTGTGGGGCAATCTGACTTTGGCTACATACTTCTTCCATTGATAGGCTGAACTTTGTACTTGTACATTTCATTCCATGTGCTTAACCTATAACATGGATGTACCCACTCCTCAACAGGTGAGACATTTTTTGCCCCATGCTCAACCTTATCCCAAATGGAACTAACAAGATGAGATCATGGTATCCCAGTGATTTCCCGATGCCTAAAACTACAGTTCCTATCCCTCCAATTAACCACAAATTGTTCCCCCATTATCCTAGTAACTTGAGTCTTCTCAGCACCAAGTGTATTGAGAAGCATCGTTCTTAACTCCATCTAAAAGTTTTGTGGTTGTTGGGGTAAGTGGCCCTTGCGACTTATCTATCACATTTTGCACAATACAAATTATTTTCATTAAGTATTCCCTAATATACTCTAAACATGTAATTATAGGTTTGTCTCGAGCATCTAACAACTTTGAGTTGAAAACTTCCCATAAATTATTCAACAAAATATATGTATGTGCTCTTGTTGTACAATGCAACAAAATATCTTATAAGAATTTGTCAAAGTGTAAACTGTTATATAAGGGTAAATAGACTTGAAATATGTGCTCTTGCCTAATGTTTGGGTGGAATTTTCTTTAACCAGTCACATGCCTTTGAATTGAACTTGTTAAAATCTTCCATGAATCTATCAAAGTGTCTAACTGTTGTTGCTGTTGCACATTCCCATAAATGATCTTTGTGCTCCTTCCCCCTCCATTGTAGCTTCATGTTTTCATGAATATGTCGTAAACAGAACCTGTGTTCAGCGCTAGGGAATAGGTTGGCAATGGAAGGTAAAATCCCCTAATTAACAAGTAACAAAAATGTTATTTTCTAAATGTAGTAGACAAACAAAATTACACAGATGTCATGAACAAGTATCATAAGAAGAGTAACCTTTTTCCTGTTAGAAATGAGTGTGAAGTTTGAATTTGTAGAGAGCTCCAAATCTTCACCTAGACACTCTAGAAACCAACTCCATAATCTTTTGTTCTCGGCTTCCACTATGGCATATGCTAGTGGGTATATCCCATTATTGGAATCAAGACCCACAGCAATGAGAACCTGTCCAGGGTAAGGTCCCTTCATGAAAGCCCCATCGAATCCTAAAAAATCTCTTAAACCTGCCTTAAATCCCGGTTTTAATGCACCTAAACAAACATAAATTCTCTTAAACATCCTAGTTTCCAAGTCTGCATTTGGTTTACTGTATACATCAATCTTCACAGTTGTTCCTAGGTTGCACTGTTGTAATTCTAGTACGTAAACCCTGAGAAGGCTGTATTGCTTTTCATAATCTCCATAAACATGTTTTTGTGCAATTTGTTTAGCCCTAAATACCTTCATTCTTGACATCCCCACCTCGTATGCCTTTTGTAACTCTATGTTGGGTTTCCTTCCACTTGTTGAAGAATGGTGGTTGCAAGAAACTTAGAAGTACACACTTTAATAGATCTTGACTGCACACATATATGCTCATGAACCAAAGTTTTCACTATCCAATCGCTTTCTTCATTAGATATAGAAATTAATACCACCCAAGGGCATGTTGCTTTTTGTGAATTGACTGTTTTGTCCTTGCATTTGATTCTACTTTTTTTCCATGGCCCACCTATCATTTCCGGGACCACACCCCTGCATTTTGCCCTAATTTTTTTTTTATCATTTTTTGCAAAGTAAATGTTTCTCCTAGTTCGAATTGAATGCATTTTAATGTAGTCCTTCACTTCTGATGAGGACTTAAATATTTGACCCAGATGGAATGCAGTTTCATGTACTACTCCTAATGAACACATGGTTGGTTTGTTTAACCTTCTCATTCACTTCTTCCTCTCATCTTCTTCTATACCAGTTGATTCAAATAATTGTGTATCTATCACCTCCAAATCCTCATCAAATGTGACATCAGGTGCATTGAATGATTAGTGGTTATCTATATTTGGAAAAGAATAAACACCACTATGTAAGTCTTTCATATTCACTTCGACATCCTCAACCATATTAAGTTCATCTACTAAAAAGTCAATATCATCGCTTATACTTCCATCGGTACTACTCTCATCACTAATAACATCCCCAATTTCTTCATTATCCCCCATCTGTTGGTAATCATTGTCCCCCATCTGTTGGTAATCATTATGATCCATATAAAAGAAAGGATCAAAGTCTTCTGAAGGACCAACATCTTGGACTTTGTTAAGCTTCTCACTTGCAGGATGAACTCCATCATTTTTCACTACATCTCTATCAAAATGTCCAAAAGGTACAACATACCTAGAAAAGTCATAGTTCTCATTCAAGTCCAATTTTCTACTACATGATCCTACCTCTGTACTGGTAAACTTTTTTCGATTGAGTTCAGGAGAAACGTGCTCATTGATTTCTTCCAATATAACCTTATTTCGAGACATAAAGTATGTATGGAGTCTATTAGTTCCATGTTCAATATACACCATAATCTCTTTGTGATTAGCGACATGCTTACTTAACAAAAGTACGTCTGAGACGTTACCTAGAGGAAGTAACCCATAATCCATTTCAATCTCTGGAATTAAGAAGTTGTAGTAGATAAGCTCACCATTGATATAACCTATCTCCTTCAACATATCATCTAACTCATGTACAGAAAACACGTCCATGTGTACGTAGTCAACATAGTCAACACTCCCACCAACATAACGTCTTCCTAGGTATTTTGTGAACATAGCCCCATGGTGAATCTTGAATGTGCATAAACTACTTAACCCAACTGAAAAACAAATAAATAATGATATGAGGAAAGAATGAAGTCTCAAAATTGAATGCGCATAAATTACTTAACAAAATTGAAAGTTGTTAACTGATCACTCACCATAAGCTTTGATCAGGTCAGGATTTTCTGAGAATTTTGAACGGACATTCCACAAAGTTAGAACCATCGCAAAAGATGAAGATCAAAACCCTAGTTTCCGTTTGAGTTTTGAAGTGATGAAGATGAAAAACTAGAGGAGAAAGAAAGGGTCGATTTCTTAGGGTAATGTAAATGGCAGCTGGATGTAAGGATCATTTATGAATATGATCATTTCGTGTAATAAAGAAAAAGACCAAAATACCCTCGTGTGAGGGTCATGTGATTTAGATAAACGACATGAATTAAACAGAGTCAGTCATAAGGACTGTCCGTGCAACAATTGGGAACCACAGGGACCATACTCGTTCAAAATTCCTCATAAGGACTGTCTTCGGTCTCTCGTGCCAACCATAGGGACCATCTGTGTAATATTATATTTTATCTATTTATACTTTTTGTTACAAATAGTTGGAGAAGCTTTTTAACTGCTATTAGTTAATCGAATTCATGTGAGTTTAAAGTAAAAAACATTTGCCTACTATCTCATGCGCAAATTCTGTTTATATAGTTTTAATTGTTATGTTTTTTGTATTTAATTTTGTAATTTGTTACATTTTGGTGATTAGCTGTTTTGTAATGTGTATTTGCAGGTGCTAATGGTTGAGCATGTAGATATATTTTATGGTCTTCACTATGGAATAACTTGAATATTCATTTGATCTGATTCCTATGCTATTTTGATCTTGCGTTTACTTATTACTGCTTTGATTTTGAAATTTAGTTGTTATTGTTACCTACATCTTACTGATTTATTGTTTTCTAGGATATGGATTTTTTTAAGACAAATTGGTGTAATGCTTCAATAGTTAAATTTCAAACATAATGTAGGTTTTAATTGTTTATAGTTCCATCTGAAGTAAGCACTCCAGTGGAAGACTTTTTTGTTGAAAAACACGAGCGGGAGAGCGATTTAAGCAACTGATGATGAAGAGGTGCTTGAAATAGGGAAGACAATTGTTGGCTATCGTTGGTCTTGGGTGCCTCCAAAAGGTAAAATATGATTTCGTTTAATTTGAATGATGTGGTTTTGCTCTGTAATGTAATGTTTGTGTTGTATCAGGTCAATCGGGTGATGAGTGAATGGTCGTACAGCTCTAAAGTTATCAGGAATAAAATGAATGTAACTGGGAAAAATTTGTACCGCAGGCCGATGGCAGTACATATTGAATTCATTAGGTAGAAAGAGGATTCTAATTATATATCCATTTTATATATTTATACATTTATATTTTTCTGAATTCTTAGCTTAGAGTAACATATTCAGAATAACTTGAATTAAAATTGTAGTTTTCATTATTTCCATACACAAACGAATTTTATTTTTCAAAAAAATATATTTGATTAAAGGTTATTTGAATTTCGAATGGTTTCCCTGGATTTGGAAACCTATGACATTTAAAGGGTATTTTGGTCAATTAGTGAGCTTGATAGAAATCAGATCAGGTGGACCCGTGAGCATTTTTTGATCGCAGCCTGAAACTTATGCCATGGATTTTATAATTCATTGTTGGATTTTGCTAAAAAAAATTTTAAAAAAAAAAGATTGTTTTGGGCAACACCGCCTGTCAGTGGGATGTCTGTGCTTGGGGCCCTTACCCAACATGTAAATCTATAAACTATATAATCGGTCCTGCATTCTGTTTAACCTTTTTTTGTGTTAAATCAATATCTAATAAAATGGTTTTAGAATTTAAAGTATGAAGAAAATTGATGGGTAAGCTGAGATTTAAATGATTTGATGCAGGGTGAATACTTTTTCTCTGTTTGTGAATCTGTAGTGATAGAATCTGCAAAACCATTTGGACCATATCAATGAGAATAAATGTAAGAAGTTACTAATATGCAAAGATATCAATATTATTTATGATATATATATATATATATATATATATATATATATATATATATATATATATATTATTTATTGTTACTTTTTAATAGACCAAATAGCCTTGGGAATGTCTATGCGTACAAAATGTGGTGCAAATCCACCCAACTACTCGATGTGATTTATTGGGAGGGCAAGTAAGTGAAACCAGTACTCGATGTCAAACTCTACGTTAAACTGGATGTAGGAGAAGGGTCCGGGAAACATGTACGAACCCGATACAAAATCACTATTGATTCCCCTATCAGTTTTGCAGAAACCATGTCTGGTACATTAGAATCTACTCAAAAAGTCTTTTGTTATAATTTTTCTCTCTCCCTCCTCCCTTTTGAACCATTCAATTTTGAGATGAGCTAATTTCAAGGGTGAAAATTTACTTAGAGCTACGTTATTTGATTTGGATTTAACAAGTGTTTCATCATTTCTATTATTCAAATCATTAACAAACACCATGTCAATTTGGGATTGTGAAAGTGATGAATTATTGCATGATTTCAGGAGCTGATCTTCCGGATGCAAATGTTAGAGGCACATGTTTCTCAATAGCAAACATAACAAAAGTGAGAAAATCCTTCAAATAATCAATCACTACATGATTATAATAAGCAATTAAATTCACTCCCTTTTGTTCTTGAATTTTTACATGCGAATTTGACAAATGCTAACTTGAAAGGAACAATGGACTTTGGTCATTTTCTATGCCACCATCTCTACCATCAGACATGACCTGCTTAAACAGTCACCACTATTTCTCTCATACACTCACTACGTCATCACATAGGAACTCATCAAATAAATAGATAAAGAAATAGGTTTGATGATGGACTCCTTCCAAGCTACGCAGGAGAGACTCATTGCAGCCATGGAAGCGTATTCCAAGATCATGAAATACTTTCCCCACATCTAACAACGAATAAACTTATATTATCATCTAATAAGCTAAGCGTTGAATGTAATATGTACTATGTCTTAACACCAATATCAATTATGCAACGTTCACGCTTTCAACTATCTCCTACCGGTTTAAGTTGTAAATATGCATATTCATGTAGACTCAACAACATATCATAAGCACTTAAACATAGTAGTTTGCATTCTACAGTTAACTAATATTTTTTACAAAATTCATAGTGAAACCATGATGTTCCACAAACGAATTATCCATAAATTACTATATAATCCTTGATATTCATAAGAAGCACGAGATGGCAAAAATGATTGTATCTGTTTAGCTCCATCCCCGCATCGTAGGGATCCTCATCTAGTTATAAATTATGGATATCATTTAATATACATATAATTATGTATATCATTTAATATCTAACTTTATTTGATTAAACAATAATGTAATTTTACGAAATTTTTATTGGTCCATTCAAGCACACAATATATGTGCGAAACACGTAAACCTATATATATATATATATATATATATATATATATATATATATATATATATATATATATACAGAGAGAGAGAGAGAGTTAAGTTCAAATGTTTCCAACAAGTATTGTGTGCATGTATGCCCCACTCACAATTTAGCAAATTATTATTATTTAATTAAAATGTAAGGGTAATTATGTAATCTTTCATTTTAATTCTTTATTTAGTCTGATTGTTATCGCTTTATATTAGGCAATGATTTATGATTGTTTTACTTATCATTTTCATTATATGTCCGATTGAAACGTCTTCCACACACAATTATCGACTCCATTATCTGCTCATTAATTTGTTTTGCGCGCTCGATGGATTTTCATACTAGAAATCGGAACCAGGTATTTACTTTTGTTCTTTGATTTTTATTTGTTTTTACTGTTTTTTCATATGCATATGTATCAACTATTTTAATCTTGCAGGATAATAAAGATCAGAATCCCAGGAATGATCTGGGTAATGTCAGTGATCCCAAGAATCGTGTGAATGCTGTTGTGAAAGAAAAAAGAAGATGTAAAATATGTTTTGGATTTGGTCATGAGAGCAGGAACTGTCCTTTTGGATTGAAGAAAGCATAGAACTACAAGAAACTCTTCAAATGGGATGTTTTTAGATATTATTAAGTTTGATTTGAGTAAAATAAAAGTTTGTTTTGATGAACTATATGATATTATTAAGTTTTATTTCAGTAAAATAAAAGTTTGTTTGATGAAATTTAAGTTTGTTTTTCTGATATATTTAGGTTTATAGAATTATCCGGTTATCATTCATACAGAATGTAAAAAAAACACGTTATATATATATATATATATATATATATATATATATATATATATATATATATATATATATATATATATATATCATTCCAACCGAATATAAAATAAAATGTTCATTACATTGCATAAATTATGTTTGCCGATTTCATAAAATCAAAACACATAATGTCAAAAATGAAATGTTTAAACAATGAGAAATACAATGATTTGAACTTAAACATTTTCAATATTTAACTGTCTTGTAAGCTATATTAATATAACATTCTAGTGGAATTATTTGAAGATAACACATAGTAAATACTTTTGTTAGTCATTTTGACATATTATTCTAATAGAATTTTATGCAAACAATACATTATGCAGAGTTTTATAAGCCATGTTTATATATCTTATCAGCCATATTCTTACAATATTCCAATAGATTATTCTCATAGAATTATTTTGTGAATAAAATAATATACTGGTTTTTAGAATCGATATTGATATATCATTCTGATAGAATTATGGTGTAAATAAAATGTTGTGCATATTTTTTTTAAAGTACATAATAATATTGTAAAGTAATTAATATAATGTACTATTGAAATGTTTTAAATTTGGAATATAGTAAAATATGAAATTTTTTATCTTTAGGATGTTTTAAAACAGAATCAAATCGAAATCATTATTTTTTTATGAATGATCCCTAGTATCAAGCATTTTAATTGGCATAGAATTTGTGTTCATCCCTATTTCTTTTTTGCCAGTTTATCATATCTTATTTTTTCGTCTTTCAAAGCATATCGAAACACTGTCGAAATTTCATAGTTATGGGCGATCAAGTATCAGATGTCAATAATCATATTTATCAGAAACAATATTTGGCTAGTGATGATGAAGATAGAATTGAAGATTTCGCTTTTCCTGATAAGTATACACTATAT